TGGAATCAGCGTGGTCGAATTAGTCAGGAAAAAGTATTTTTGCAACTTTTTTTTCAACTTTTTCAGAAAAAATCTCATGTAACTCCCGAACGGGAAGAGATACGAAAGCGCGGTTTGAATTTTTGGAATCAGCGCGGTCGAATTAGTTAGGAAAAGTTGTTTTTGCAACTTTTTTTTTCAACTTTTTCAGAAAAAATCTCATAAGGGGGGACCCTTTTGACAAAAATATCGCGATTTTCGAGTGTAACTTCCGAACGCGAAGAGATACGAAAGCGCGGTTTGATTTTTTGGAATCAGCGTGGTCGAATTAGTCAGGAAAAAGTATTTTTGCAACTTTTTTTTTCAACTTTTTCAGAAAAAATCTCATAAGGGGGGACCCTTTTGAGAAAAATATCGCGATTTTCGAGTGTAACTTCCGAACGCGAAGAGATACGAAAGCGCGGTTTGAATTTTTGGAATCAGCGCGGTCGAATTAGTTAGGAAAAATTGTTTTTGCAACTTTTTTTTTCAACTTTTTCAGAAAAAATTTCATAAGGGGGGACCCTTTTGAGAAAAATATCGCGATTTTCGAGTGTAACTTCCGAACGCGAAGAGATACGAAAGCGCGGTTTGATTTTTTGGAATCAGCGTGGTCGAATTAGTCAGGAAAAAGTATTTTTGCAACTTTTTTTTTCAAATTTTTCAGAAAACATCTCATGTAACTCCCGAACGGGAAGAGATACGAAAGTGCGGTTTGATTTTTTGGAATCAGTAAAGTTAACTCACCGACTGAGGAACGCTGGTGTCCTCTATACCGACGTCCTTGATCATCTTGGCGGCCAAGTCCGCGCTCTTCTCCTCGTTCAGCAACCGCAGGTACTTCCTGAGGTCCGAAACGCAGCACGGCTTGTAGCCGAACTTCCTGAAGTACTCCATCGCGAGCTCGGCAACGTCGCCTAGTAATTCGGACGGTTCTTTGCCGGCCAGCGCCATCTGGTAGAACAGCTCCAAACGAGCCAAATAGGGACCGCGCATCGAGAAGCCTACGGGAAACGTCAAAAAGTGACACAAGGCGAAAAATCGTTGCCATGGCTACTTACTGTTTTCGTGGCCGTTCTCGATTATGCGGCACACGAACTCGTGCGCCTTCTCGTAGTTGTCGTCGATTGTTTCCGTCGATTGTTCGTTGTTTTCGCCGACGTTGTTTTGTTTTTTCTTGTTCGACTCCTGCGATTTTTCCAGGTGCAAAACCGATTCGATGTAGTCCAACCAAATGTTCCATCTGTCCACGCTAAAAAATGTTTTTAATTAAGTAGGAAAGCATTAAAAAAATTGTGTCAAAATGTTAAAAAAGAGCTGAAATGTAAAAAAAACAAAGAAGTCAATTTGTAAAAAAATGAAAAAATGACAAAAAACTTCAAAAATGATTGGTATGGAAATGTCAAAAATGACAAAAAATATGAGAGCGTAAACAAAATTTCAATTTAAAAAAAATACAAAATGTCAAGGAAGTCAAAATAAAGGAATAGAAGTAACAACAAATTTAAAGTTTTTAAAATGTTAAAATTATTATGGGGTTTAAAAATGCCAAAAATTACAACAAAATTTATACAATTGGCAAAAATTTGTATCAATATGTCAATTTGTAAAAAAAAATTGAAAAACTGTAAAGGAATTTCAAAAATAATTGGTATCAAAATCTCAAAATATTGAAAATGTCAAAAATGACAAAAAATATAAGTCAAATTTTAATTTTTACTTTTAAGTAAAATTTTTAAAATGTTAAAAATGTCAAAAATTACAAAAAGTTTATCAAATTGGCAAACATTTTTTATCGGAATGTCAATTCTTTTTAAGAATATTAATTTGTAAAAAAATTTATTAAAAAATGTCAAAAATTACTATCAAAATGTCAAATGTCAAAATATTGATATTTGATGCTGATTAGTAAAATATTAAAGGGTTTAAAAATGTCAAAAACTACAAAAAATTTATCAAATTGGCAAAATTTTTTATCAGAATATCAATTAGTAAAAAAATTTATTAAAAAATTGTCAAGAAATTTGCAAGATAATTGGTATTTAAATGTCAAAAATTACTATAAAAATGTCAAATGTCAAAATATTGAAAATGACAAAAAATATGAGAGTAAACAAAATTTCCATTTAAAAAAATTAAAAAATATCAAATAGAATGTCATAATTGTCAAATGTCAAAGTCAAGTAAAAATAGAATGTCAAAAAATGAAAAAAACATCAAATGTTAAAAAAATGGCAATTGTAAAAATTGATAACATTAGTACAAGTTTTAAAATGTTAAAAATATTAAAGGGTTTAAAAATGTCAAAAATTACAAAAAATTTATCAAATTGGCAAATATTTGTATTGAAATGTCAATTTTATTAAGAATATTAATTTGTACAAAAATGTACTAAAAAAATGTCAAGAAATTTCAAGAATGATTGGTATCAAAATGTCAAAAATTACTATCAAAATGTCAAATGTCAAAATATTGAAAATGACAAAATTTCCATTTAAAAAAATTAAAAAATGTTAAATAGAATGTCAAAATTGAGTCGTATAGATTCAAAACCCGCCAAATCCATTTATTGAAAGTAAAGGACAGTAGATATGTTTGCAATACATATTAATTATGTTGTTATGGAAACATGTCTTCTGTCCTTTATTTTCAATAAATGGATTTGGCGGGTTTTGAATCTATACGACTCAATTGTCAAATGTCAAAGTCAAGTAAAAATAGAATGTCAAAAAATGTAAAAAAAAAACAAATGTTAAAAAATGGCAATTGTAAAATTAGTAAGATGAGCAAAATTTTTAAAATGAAAAAATAGTAAGGGGTTTAAAAATGTCAAAAATTACAAAAAATTTATCAAATTGGCAAAAATTTGTATAAATGTAATAAAAAAATGTCAAGAAATTTCAAAAATGATTGGTCTCGAAATGTCAAAATTACTATCAAAATGTCAAATGTCAAAATATTGAAAATGACAAAAAATATGAGAATAAACATAATTTCCATTAGAAAAATTAAAAAATGTGGAATGAAATGTCAAAATTGTTAAATGTCAAAGTAAAAATAGAATGTTAAAAACATCAAATGTTAAAAATATTAGGTAAGGAGTTTAAAAATGTCAAAATTTACTAAAAATTTAAAATAAATCAAAACTTAATCAAAACTTACTTTAGCAGCAAAATCTCCTTACAAATCAAGTTGACCTGCTGCCATTGCTTCAACAACTTAAAATACTTCAACTTCATTTGCGGAATATCGCCGCTCGTCAACTTTTTCCCCAGATTACCATCCAACAACTTGATGATTTCGTCGTGTTTCCCCAAATACTCCAAAATCATGACATACAGCTGAACTTCCTGCTCTGCCTCCAATTTATTATCGTATATCAACTTCACCATCATTCTTTCGGCCAAAGAGAGTAAAACAAAAGACTTTTGCGGGTCTTTGAGACCCTCCCCGCGTTTCGCCTGCAGTATTATCGACATGACGGCCCAGCAGTAGTAAGGATTCTTTGGCTTGTGTTTGTACAAAGACATGGCGACATTCTGCTGAGATTTCCAATTTCCTATACGAACGTGAGACATAAATAATTGCGTTTGAATCTCTTCGTTACCCGGATCCAATTTCGCAGCCTTCTCGTACAAACTGCATATTCTGTCCACTAAAAACCATGCTATACAACAAAATACAAAATTAAACGCAAAACCTACGTCGTTTCATTTCCCTGCAACACAAAGTCATGGCTTGTAAAGTCGGTTCATCTGTAGGGTCTTCTAGGGTTAAATCGTCCAACAAAGTTAAAGCTTCTGTATTTCGGCTCATCCTTTGCAGACTTAGGGCTTTTAGAGCCCTCGCACATTGCATTTTGGGCGTTTTTTTCAACACTTTATCACATTCTTGCAGGGCTTTTTTGTTGTTTCCCGAATCTAACCAGTCTACAATTTCAAGTCATAAAAATCAGAATATTTTAATTATATAGGTTTATGCTGATAAAATAACGTAATCAAAGTAAACCAAAACAATGAAATTCAAGTAAGAAACACTTTATTACCATAAATAGCCCTCAAACGTCGTTCAGCCACCGAATTATCAGCCACGTGCGCGTTCTTCGTCATAATGCTCATAATATCGAATCACTCCAACAAAACTAATTGATCTACACAACCGACGTACTAATCACCGCGCAATTTCCTAATTTTACTGAAACATTTAAAATTGAAAACGCCAAACGCGACATAACCTCGAAGCGCGGCGTCAAATGTCAAAATTTCCGTGGGTGGCGCCATCTAGTTGGCGAACGATGAAGTCTAGGGTTTTATTATTAATATGCTAAAAAAATCTCTTTAAATGTTTAAAATTCATGCTTAATTATTGCACAAATTTTGTATATTGTCAAGAAATATGCTGAAAATGATTTAAACATACTGGGTTGCCTACCTTTTGGCGCAACAATGTTCAAAAAACTTATTAAATACAAAAAAATATCTGGGTGGCGCCATCTATCAGAAAAAAGTTGAAGTTTCGCGTTTTGTGAAAGAGCTCTTGATTTTGAACGCAATTTCTTATTAAATAATATTTTTATTAAAAACTTTTTAATGCAGTGGCGTTCACCTTTAAACGGATAAATCACGTATTTAAATCGTGAGTTGCGGTTTACATAACAATGAAATTTAAGAACAGGGGGATTTCCTCTGAGCCGGAATTTGCATACATGAGCAAAAAAAAAGACAAAGACATAAAGAGCAATAAAAAACGGGGTCCGGTTGTTTTATAAACTTGTTTCTCCATTTTTGTAGTCGAGATTTTGTTCGTTTTTTACGCAAATTCTTTCGACGAAATACATTATTGAAGAAATTTTGCGTTGTGTGGTTGGCATTAATTACACGGTGTTTGTTTTTGTTTTTATGATTAAATTACGCTAATTGCCATTACCACATTAGTAATAAATGATGTGTTAGATGTAAAATATTAATTTATTGCTGTGCAAAATGTTGAAAGTGGTTATTTTGTGTATTTTTTTAACGTTCAGCAAATTTAGTTTTACCATGCACACATTGTCACATTTATCGACGAGAATTCAAGATCTTTCCAGCCCTTGTCCGGAATATTTTGAATACAAAACTGAGCATGGGAATAACCTGTATGGATTTTTGATGGTGGAAAGTGTACCAGAAAATAACATGATACAAATCAATATGGAATTGTCTATAGGAAATAGCGTACAAGTATGTAACTTAAAAAACAATTTTTAGGAAAAAAAAAACATAACCATCTTAAATTAAATATTATAATTATTAATAACCTATTACCTGTATTTGTGACGTCCTAATTACTAATAACAAAGGTTGATTTATTAATTATCGGTATTTAAACAGTGTATACTGCAGTATAGAAAATATATTAATTCTCTTAAAATTAACACAAACTTTAGACGTCAGTAGTTTTGTTATTTTTTGTCCAATTTCAAAAAAATTTATATAAAATTTTAGATAATTTCATACACTTTAAGAAAATGTAAACATCTTAATATGCCTCATAACTAATTTTCGAGATTATCCACATAATATAAAGTCGTGTCAAAATTTGATATTTTTGTAGGGTTTTAATGGAAATATTGAGCTGTTGTACTCTAGAGAAAAAGTGGTGGACGACATAACCCATCATAGACCCATAGAGTACAAAGTTATTTTTCCATATTGGAAAAATATTCCCCCAAAAGTCACTAAAATATATGTTAACGGACATTTAGTTTGTCAAGGGCCAAAGATTGAAAGTATGTTTATTATAAGCATAAAAACGTTTTATTTTATTTTGTTTTTTTAGTAAATACTGTGCCGGTTTTAACCACCATTAATTTGCAGCATACTTTAACAATAAACAGTTTGCCTTTATCCAATGACAATTCCATACCAACTAAAGATAGGTAAATAATGAAAATTAATAAATAAAAATATTTTATTACTTTGCAAATATTTAAAGGTTCGATCGACCGTCGACGTCAGAGAGACCTCAAGGTAACAATTTTTTCGAAATTAAAGTACCAAACAATATAAACTTTAACCCGAAACCGCCCGATAACCCGGACTCAATATTCCGGGGGAATCCGTTTTTGAATCCAAAAAATTTCAATAAAAAACCAATAGGTGAGACACTTTTCAAAATTTATTTTTTTTTACTCAAAATTTTCCCGCGAAAATCAACACAAATATGTCAGTGTATGTATATATTTTTTAATTTTGCAATAAAAAAGTTGCAGTTACCACAAATCCAGCGTTGCCAGATTTAAACAAAAACCCGTTTTTAACACCCATATTGAACGACCGAAATAAACCGGAAATTGTCGTCACCACCCAGAAATCCACAGTGCTACCAACGTTAACAACAACAGGTGAGTAAAAAACTAAATATGTCATTAATATACAAGGTGTTTTTTAGAGAAAACCAACGACAACAAATTTTCTGAAATTTGCGGTCGACCTGTGGCAACTAATTCCTTAATCGTAGACGGCTTAGACGTTCCTAAAGGCGCTTATCCATGGCTAAGTGCCATTTTCAGGGTACAAAATACCGGACTTACGTACATATGCAGCGGAAGCCTTATTTCCAACAGACACGTGGTCACAGGTTTGTAAAGTAGAGTCGGCAAGTTGTTTAACTTATTCAAAGACAACTAATTACATAACCTCAACAAATTTTATGTTTCAGCTGCACATTGCATGCAAAAAGACTCGCGCAACGTCAAACCTCAAGACCTGTTGATAATTCTGGGAAAATTGAACATAGCCAAGTGGAAACCTCTGCCAGGAGAGAAAATGATCGAACCTGAAAGTTTACACGTTCACCCGAATTACGCGTCATCAAATAGTGACGCAGACATCGCCGTCATCACTTTAAGCGAAATTTTGACGTTTTCAGCACTAATTATGCCTGTTTGTCTGTGGCGGGGACCCGACAACCTAAACCTAGGTAATTGTGATTTTTTTGTTGGTAGTGCTGTAAATATTGTTTTTTTTTAAGTTGTCGGAAGTGATGGGGTGGTAGCTGGCTGGGGAAAAAACGAGGAGGGTTTAATTTCCACCGCGGAACCGAAACAAACTTTTTTACCAATCGTCGACCAAGAAACTTGTTTGAGATCCTCGCACCAATTTCAATACATAACCTCTAACAGAACGTTTTGTGCAGGTAAATTTTAAAACACCCGGTATATTATGCGCTAAATGTGTGGAGAATTAAATTTCCTTTTCTACGATACCCAACTCGGTATGTTTTAATTGAGAAATATGGCAGCTATGAAGAAAAAATACTTTCCAAGGATGACTAGATCGATTTTGATTTTTTACGATAACTCTGTTATTTTTGGAGATAATTTCACGTTTAATATGTCATTTTAAAGGGATTTTAAATGTCTATGTAAACATAGATATGTTTTCAATAAATGTCCACATAATTTTAAAACACCCTGTATATTTTGTGCTGATTGTGTGGAGAATTAAATTTCCTTTTTTCCGATACCCAACTCGGTATGTTTTAATTAAGAAATAAGGCAGCTATGAAGAAAAAACACTTTCCAAGGATGACTAGATTGATTTTGTTTTTTACGATAACTGTTATTTTTGGAGATAATTTCACGTTTAATATGTCATTTTAAAGGATTTTAAATGTCTACGTAAACATAGAGATGTTTTCAATAAATGTGCACATAATTTTAAAACACCCGTTATATTTTGCGCTGATTGTGTAGAAAATAAAATTTCCTTTTTTCCGATACCCAACTCGGTATGTTTTGGTTGAGAAATAAGGCAGCTATGAAGAAAAAACACTTTCCAAGGATGACTAGATCGATTTTGTTTTTTAAGATAACTCCGTTATTTTTGGAGATAATTTGACGTTTAATGTGTCATTTTGAAGGTATTTTAATTGTCTATATTTTTAGGCAGTCAAAACGGGAAAGGTCCATGTAACGGCGATTCGGGAAGCGGCTTGATAATCAAGAGGGATCAAGTCTGGATGTTGCGGGGGATCGTTTCGATGTCGATATCGGACACGCATTCGAGAACTTGCGATTTGAATCATTACGTTGTTTTTACGGACGCGAGCAAATTTCACTCGTGGTTGTATTCTTTTATTATACCGTCCGTGTGATGTAAACAACGTAGCTTTTTTATTGCTAAAACTGTGTTATTATTTTTAGTTGGATATTATTTAATAAATTTTATATGTATTTTTGATATTCTGGTTGTTTTATTTACATACCTAAACCGAGACTTCCTGTTTATGCAATAATTAGGTAATTAAATACCTATTCAATAATTAACATTTTTTATGACTATTATAGTTTAATGCATGCAAGGGTTAACACATTATTTTCCGTACACCCTGTATGTATTCTTCTCCAGACACAAATAAACAATTGAAATGCAATTAACAATAGCTAAAAACCGGATTAAATTTAAGTAATTGTAAGTACATCTTTCTATTGGGTTTTTCCGAAATTTTTGGGTGGGGATACAATATTCTTGGTATTTAAAGAATACAATATTCTTAGTATTTAAAGAATAATAATAAAGCGAAAAGTGTGTAACTCGATGTAAAACTTAACGTAAACAAAATAAAACTAGTTTAGTAAAATAGTTGTTTGCATTTCTCGAGATGTCTCAGTGGAGAGTAAAGTGAATTCAGTTTTGTGACTTCATAAATACACAAACAACAGTTACATTCAACGTGCTAATGATCAAAGTTTAGAATGTCGTATATAAGCATTTTTCTGCTTATATCTTTTTGTGTGACAGTTTTAACTCAACAGAACATACCGGAAAATCCATGTCCCTTATTATTTCAATACGTAACACATTCGAACAACATTATTTCTGGAAAAATTAACGTGCCATACGATGGAAAGACTAACAAGTTGTCGCTTAGCGTTAACGCTTCTATTATTGGAGTTTACAATCGCGCGGTAATTATTATTTAATTCGTTTTAATTTAATGTATACCTACACAAATAATTTTTTTTATAGAAATTAGATATACGATTACTGACATCCAAAGACCTCATCTTGGGAAGTGACCGTCTGGATTATGAAGTGTATTTTCCGTTTCAAAACAATTTACCGAAAATCACCCGTATTGTGTTTAACGGCAACGAATTTTGTTCCGGGCCGCCTTTTCCACGTAATTTTTTTTAAATTTTATTTGTTATTTTGTTTCTGCAATATTTTGAATTTTAGTTCTACCTGGCAGAGGCGTAACAAGCGTGTGGGCGTTTTCTGACTACACTATCAAGAAGTACACGACAAATTTCCAGATAAATAGTAACGATAACAATAACAATAACGAAGCTCCCATAGTTATTAGTATAGGAAATGTTATACCCATAGAAACGCCCACTGTGATAGCAAATAACCCATTTTTTACCAACAGAGTGCCACCAACTGCAAGACCTATTACTACTACTATTACTACTACTATTACTACTACTACTCCGACTTCTATTACTACTACTACTACTGAGTAAGAAAATTAAAAATTTATTTAAAAATTTTTAAATCTTTTTTTAAGCATTGTAGATATAGGCCCGTAACTTTTTTGCTAGTTTACATAGAACAATTCTGTCAAATGCATTGTAAAAAGGATATTTCTCTTATTAAATTGTACAAATTCTACTAAAATTGGATAAAAATTGTGAAAACCACAAGAAAATTAAAAAATGTTTACAAATTTTCAAATTCCTTTTTAAGCATTGTAGATATAGGCCCATAACTTTTGTGCTAGTGTACATAGAAAAATTCTGTCAAATGCATTGTAAAAAGGCAAATTTTCTTATTAAATTGTACAAATTCTACAGAAATTGGATAAAAATTGTGAAAACTACAAGAAAATTAAAATTTATTAACAAATTTTAAAATTTAAATTTAAATTTAAATTCTTTTTCAAGCATTGTAGATATAGGCCCATAACTTTTTTGCCAGTGTACATAGAAAAATTCTGTCAAATGCATTGTAAAAGCCTATTTTTCTTATTAAATTGTACAAATTCTACCGAAATTGGATAAAAATTGTTAAAACTACAAGAAACTTAAAAATTGTTTACAGATATTCAAATTTTTTTAAGCATTGTAGATATAGGCCCATAACTTTTTGCTAGTGTACATAGACAAATTCTGTCAAATGCATTGTACAAAGTCTAATTTTCTTATTAAATTGTACAAATATTACTGAAATTGGATAAAAATTGTAAAAACTACAAGAAAATTAAAAATTTATTAACAAATTTTCAAATTCTTTTTTAAGCATTGTATATATAGGCCCATAACTTTTTTGCTAGTGAACATAGAAAAATTCTGTCAAATGCGTTGTAAAAAGCCCATTTTTCTTTTTAAATTGTACAAATTTTACTGAAATTGGATAAACATTGTTAAAAGTACAAGAAAATTAAAAATTGTTTACAAATTTTCAAATTCTTTGCTAAGCATTGTTGATATAGGCCCATAACTTTTTTGCTAGTGTACCTACATAATAAAAAACTGTAAAATGCATTGTAAAAAGCATACTTTTCTTATTAAATTCTAGAAATTTTACTAAAATTGTTTAAAAATTGAAAATTAAAAAAATGACTTCACAATTTTTTTTACAGCACTAAATGTGGGGTGGAAAACTCCTCAACCAATTTGATAGTAAACGGGGAAAAAACAACTGAAAATCAATTTCCATGGGTGGTCGCGATGATGGTTACATCGAGTAAATCAGGGTATCAGTACAAATGCACGGCCAATTTGATCTCCGATAGGCATGTAGTGACAGGTAAGCATTTGTTGCTTAAAATATTTTTATATTTATTTATAATTTGTTTGTTTCTTATAGCTGCGCAATGCGTGCAGTTTTTCAGCGTACGAGTAGTGAATACGGAAGATATTTTGTTAATTTTGGGCAAATCCGATTTGACCCATTGGGCTACCAGTGACGCTGAAAGAAGAACGGCCAAAAAGGTTACAGTCCATCCGGATTACAGGCAATACTCGGGACATGGCGATTTATGCGTCATAGAGTTTTCACCACCTGTTAACTTCAAAAAAACCATAAGACCCATTTGTTTGTGGAACAAATCTGAACCGTTGGAACCATCGGTCCATTCCCATGGTAAAATTTGCGGATGGGGTCAAAGTTTATCGCATGGTAACTATACTTAGTAATAATATTACAAAAACATATATTTTATACGATTTTTTAGGTGACCAATCCATATCCTCCTATCATGCCATTGATATTCCAATTGTTTCTCAAGAAGAATGCCTCAGATCTACACCTGCCTTTCAAAATTTAACATCACAAAAGACTTTTTGTGCCGGTAAGTGCTAATAAAAAATTAAATTTCTATAAAATGTCCATACAACACCCGGTATATTTTTCGTTAATTGTGTGCAGAATTAAATTACCTTTCGTCCGATACCCAACTCGGCATGTTTTGGTTTAGAAATAAGCCGGCTATGAAGAAAAAACACTTTTTTCCAAGGATAACTAGATTAATTTTGTTCTTTACGATAACTCTGTTATTTTTTGAGATAATTTGATGTTTTATATGTCATTTTAAAGGGATTTTAAAGGTCTATGTAAACATATAGATGTTTTTAATAAATGTCCACATAATTTTAAAACACCCTGTATATTTTGTGCTGATTGTGTGGAGAATTAAATTTCCTTTTTTCCAATACCCTACTCGGTATGTTTTAATTGAGAAATAAGGCAGCTATGAAGAAAAAACACTTTCCAAGGATGACTAGATCGATTTTGTTTTTTACGATAACTCTGTTATTTTTGGAGATAATTTGTCGTTTAATATGTCATTTTAAAGGGATTTTAAATGTCTACGTAAACATACAGCTGCTATTAATAAATATCCACATAATTTTAAAACACCCGGTATATTATGCGCTGAATGTGTGGATAATTAAATTTCCTTTTTTCCGATACCCAACTCGGTATGTTTTGGTTGAGAAATAAGGCAGCTATGAAGAAAAAACACTGGACACAAGGATGACTAGATCGATTTTGTTTTTTACGATAACTCTGTTATTTTTGGAGATAATTTAACGTTTAATATGTCATTTTAAAGGGATTTTAAATGTCTATGTAAATATGTAAACATTTTTTCCAAGGATGACTAGATTAGTTTTGTTTTTTACGATCCGTTATTTTTGAAGATAATTTGACGTTTTATATATCATTTTAAAGGGAATTTCAAACATCGCATTTAATTTCCAGGAAACCGGATCGGCTCCGGGCCCTGCATCGGCGACAGCGGTGCCGGATTCATGCTGAAAAGTCGGGACGATAAATGGCAACTGCGCGGATTGGTGTCGATAGCGCTCAAAAAAAATAACGCCTGCAAACTGGACGACTACATCGTTTTCTGCGACGTTGCCAAATACCTCGGATGGATTAAAAATGTCATGACGGAAAAATAAAATTTTATCAAACCAAATTATTTGTAGTTTTTAATTTACCAATTAAACATTAAAGTTATATAACTTTAAAACACCCGGTATATTTTGCGTTAATTGTGTGCAGAATTAAATTACCTTTTGTCCGATACCCAACTCGCTATGTTTTGGTTTAGAAATAAGTCAGCTATGAAGAAAAAACACTTTTTTCAAGAATGACTTGACTGACTTTGTTTTTGACGATAACTCCCTTATTTTTGGAGATAATTTGATGTTTTATATGTCATTTTAAAGGGTATTTGTAACATCGTTTAAATCTTGCATAAGGCACACATATTTAATTATCAAGTAATTAATACAAATGTATTTCTTTGGTCTACAGCTATTAGTAATGAGGACCGTTCCTAGAATCCTTCATTATTTTTTATAATTGTACAATAATAATAAGTCAAGCAATTATTTAAGGTAATAAATTTTATTTTGTAGATTTACATAATATACTATACGGCACCGCTTACTTGATTCTTAACCTACATTCGATTACGCAGAATAGATCCCAGGGTAAAAATATAATTTAAATAAATTATACAAAATTAACTTAAACTTTAACACTCTGTATTTCATATATTATATGAAATACAGAGTGTTAAAGTTTAAGTTAATTTTGTATAATTTATTTAAATTATATTTTTACCCTGGGATCTATTCTGCGTAATCGAATGTAGGTTAAGAATCAAGTAAGCGGTGCCGAGACCAGAAACTGGCCGCCTCAAGACAGTCGAAGAACGATTCTTGTGTTGAGCGCCGTTACCATAGTAACTTGTTTACTTTTATCATTGAGGACTTTTTTTTTGGAAAATAGTTCCAAAAAAGTAATTTGTATTATGTGTTTATATTAATTTATTTTTGTGGATTACTTAGTTATTTATGTACTTGGAATTATAACGAATATTAATTGAGGTAAGCATTTCCTTAAAATCTGATAATGAATCATTTTACCTTGTATAAAGTTTCGAAATATAAACAATTGTTTATTGTTTTACCGAAAAATTATTATCAATTTTGGTCACGTTTAAAAGTAAATTTGACCACTTTCAAACCGACTAAATTAATTAAAACGTCATTAATATTCGCATGTACTTACTGTACAATAAAATAAACATTAAGTAGTTTTTCAGAAATTTAAATTATAATCTTTTCAAGCACGAAATGACATACATAACAGTAATAATTATAGAAAGTTGTCTGAGATATTTAGGATGTCAAAAATTTAAAACAAACTTGTTATAGAGGTTGATTTTTCTCGAAAACTAAGCAAGATTTAAAAAAATGTTAAGGGGATAAAAGTTGTATTTTTATTTGTTTAGTCTAATGAATATGTAAAACAAGAAAAAGATACAAGGATTCTCTCACAAATTAAAGAACGGAAATGGGTGTATTTTGAGATGCATTTTTTGCCATATACATTAGTACTTCCGTTCCAATTGGTACAGTCTTTTATAAATTGTGGTAAAAACGGTCTACTAATTTTAAGAGATCGAGTTTTTTGACCCACAAACGCCTACTTTTCAATCAAATACTTTGTTGACCTAGCAATTTCAAAATTCAAACTGCCACTACGCGAAGAATTTATGTACGATTTTTATGAAATTAAAACAAAATTGTAGCTTAATTTATCTACTTTATAGAGATAAAATTGTAATGCAATCAAATAAAAATTGTTAAAATGGCAATTGTTTTAATCCCGCATGGTTATAAAACGACTTTATTGTATAAGAAAACTACCGATTCTTTTTGTCGACTTATATGGAGACTCAAACAGGTTGTTAAACTATTTCCGTGTGTAATAATACGTAGGAACAAAAAAATAATAAATTAAATATTATTTGGCAGACAAGTTTCAAAACTAAATCATTTGCATCAAATTAAGGATTCGGATGTTTTTTTAATGCCATCTTGTTAAAATTAAATGTTTAATTAAATAAATGTTTATGAAAACGCTTGGTTGGCCATGTAAAAAAAAGCCACCTGATGAATGCGTGAGAAGAAATTCTTTTTTTATTATATTTGTAAGAAATTGTGGTTTTACATCTTTAATAACAATAATTTGGAAAACTATAATGTTTACTTTTAATTTCATTAATTTTTTTATAAATGTAGTTAATTTTAATTTAATTTCGCAAAAATTACCACAACAACGGCTTGCTAAATCAATGCTTAGTAAGAATGGGATAAAAAGTCTCATGGATTAAGTAATTAGTGCATTATTAGTTGATTTATCAAATTTTACACATTATTAGTAATAATTGTAATAATTATTTTGCTTTCCCTTTACGAAATTAAATAATTAATATTTACAGGATGTCACTTGGTAAACCGAACTTACTACATTTCAACTTTTTATTTGATGTCACTTAAAAACCTTGTAACTTTTTTTGGTACAATTAAAGAACATCAAAAAATTGCGTTTTTTAGATAATTAATTTCTCTACAACTCTCTTTCTCACAACAACTCTCTAAAATTATACAGTAGCAAGTTATTCAATAAAAACGCAACTTACATTTAATTTTTTTAATTTATGTCATTTAAAAACCTTGTAACTTTTTTTTGGATACAATTAGAGAAAATCCACAAAATGTGTTTTTTAGACAATTCATATCTCTACAACTTTCTTTTTAACCATAACTCTCTAAAATTATACTGTAGTAAGTTATTCAAGGAAAACCAAACTTACTGCATTCCAACTTTTTTTTTGTCATTTAAAAATCTTGTAACTTTTTTCTGGATAAAATTAGAGAAAATCCACAAAATGCATTTTGTAGGCAATTTATTTCTCTACAACTCCCTTTTTAACAACAACTATAAAATAATACAGTAGTAAGTTATTCAAGGAAAACAAATGTTACTAAATTTCAACTTTTTGATTCATGTCATTTAAAAACCTTGTAACTTTTTTATGTATAACATTAAAGTAAAACCAAAAAATGCGTTTTGTAGAAAATTATTTTTTCTTTCTCACAACTCTTTAAAATGATACAGTAGTATCATTTTCAACTTTTTGATTTATGTCATTTAAAAACCTTGTAACTGTTTTTTGCATAAAATTAAAGAAAAAACACAAAATGCGTTTTTTAGACAATTCATATCTCTACAACTTTCTTTTTAACAATAACTCTCTAAAATTATACTGCAGTAAGTTATTTAAGGAAAACCAAACTTATTACGTTTCAACCTTTTTATTTGTCATTTAAAAATCTTGTAACTTTTTTCTGGATAAAATTAGAGAAAATCCAAAAAATGCATTTTGTAGACAATTTATTTATTTACAACTCTTTTTTTCACAACAACTCTCTAAAATTATTAATAAGTTATTTTATCTACTCCTACATTGACGAGCTGTAACTTTATGGCGTTTTATTGACGGGCTGAAGTTAACAACAGTGGCTTTTCGACATTTTACGTCACGGGCTGAAGTTAGCTTTATTATAAATTGGAAAAAAGTGAGGTTAAATTCGGGTGACAGTTGACAGATGTCAAAATTTTAACAAATAAAATTGGCTTTAAATTCTGTTTTGTGTTCGTCGTAGATAAAGTATAGTATGCAACTCGTTTATAAACTTCTCTAGACACTCGTTTTTATTAAACACTCGCTCGCAAGCTTCGCTCGTGCTTAATTAAACTCGTAACTAAAATGGCGTTTATAAAACTTGATACATAATATACTATAAGGAAAACGCAACTTACTACATTTCAACTTTTTGATTTATGTTATTTAAAAACCTTGTAACTTTTTTATGGATAAAATTGGAGTAAATCCAAAAAAATCATTTTGTAGACAATACATTTCTCTACAACTCTCTTTCTCACAACAACTCTCTAAAATTATACAGTAGTAAGTTTTTCAGGGAAAACGAAACTTACTACATTCTGTTTCAAATTACGAAATTAAAGCATAGTTTATTATTTACAGGATGTCGCTTAGAACACTTTTTTTTTCGGTAATAGTTTTAATCAATTGTCTTCCACATTCTAATGGACATGGCCGATTAATTGAACCACCTAGTAGAGCATCAGCATGGAGGTAATTTTTTTAAATTGTAAAATTAAAACATATTATTAATCAGTCTATTAGTATGTAATACTTAATTTATATATTTAATAATTATAATTGATTAAATAATAACGCATTGGTTGCACAAGTTGATAATTTTATAATGAATATCAATTATTTTCGCAACATAATAATTATGTTTTTGAATGACATCGTTTTTATGTTTTAGATATGGATTCAGCACACCCCATAACTACAACGACCATGAGCTGTACTGTGGCGGTTTTACCAGGCAATGGGTGAAAAACGAGGGGAAATGTGGGGTGTGTGGGGACCCATACGATTCCAAGTAAGAAAATCACAAAACAAAATTTAAATGACAATTTTTAAAACAAAAAACTGATTGTAGGCAACCGAGAGCACACGAGTACGGCGGCACGTACGGGCAAGGCGTCATCGTGCGAAAATACGGAGTAGGCGCTGCGATCAACGTGCGCGTAGAACTGACAGCGTCGCATTTCGGATACTTCGAGTTCGCGATCTGCCCCGACTACAAAAAGGCAACGCAGCGGTGCCTCGACAAGAACCGGCTGACCTTGATCAAACCGCAAGATGGCGCCGATCACCAGAGCACGCGCTACTTCCCCAAGGAGGGCAACAAAATCTACGAAATCAAGTACAGGCTGCCCAAGAAGTCGTGCGAGCACTGCCTGCTGCAATGGAGATACGTCGCAGGTAACCGACGACGTTTACATAACCTCAAACGTCGAATATTGACAGTTGAAACGTCAAATCTGACAGTTCTATTACCTCAAACAAACAAAATGACATTTTAAACGTCAGAATTTTTGTAGGTTACATTTAAAAAAATATTTTCCCAAAGATAAAGAAAAAATATGCATTAGAAGTTTTTTAATATTTTAAATTTAAACAGAATTTGGCAATTTTTTTGACAGAATCTGGACAGCCTTGTTGTTACCAACCAAAACATAATAAATTAAATTAGGCAACCAAATTAGCCCAAAATTCCAATGAAAACAACAAACGACATTTACATAACCTTAAACTACGAAAATTGACATTAAAAACGTCAAATCTGACAGTTCTATAACCTCAAACTGACAAACAAACAAAATGACATATTAAACGTCAGAATTTTTTTAGGTTATATTTAAAAAAATATTTTCCTAAAGATAAAGAAAAAAATATGCATTAGAACATAATAAATTAAATTAGGCAACCAAATTAGCCTAAAGTTCCTATGAAAACAACAAACGATATTTACATAACATCAAACACCGAAAATTGACAGTTAAAACGTCAAATCTGACAGTTCTATAACCTCAAACAAACAAACAAACAAAATGACATTTTAAACGTCAGAATTTTTTTAGGTCATATTTAAAAAAATATTTTTCTAAAGATAAAGAAAAAATATGCATTAGAACATAACAAATTAAATTAGGCAACCAAATTAGCCTAAAATTCCTATGAAAACAACAAACGACATTTACATAACCTCAAACACCGAAAATTGACAGTTAAACCGTCAAATCTGACAGTTCTATAACCTCAAACAGACAATCAAACAAAATGACATTTTAAACGTCAGAATTTTGTTGGGTTATATTTAAAAAAATATTTCCCCAAAGATAAAGAAAAAATTTGCATTAGAACATAATAAACATTAGGCAACCAAATTAGCCTAAAATTCCTATGAAAACAACAAACGACATTTACATAACCTCAAACACCGAAAATTGACAGTTAAAACGTCAAATCTGACAGTTCTATAACCTCAAACAGACAAACAAACAAAATGACATTTTAAACGTCAAAAAAGCTAAATTTAATTTTTTTTTAGGTAACAATTGGGGCAATTGCCCCAACGGGACCGGGGCGGTGGGTTGCGGGCCCCAAGAGGAGTTCCGAGCGTGCGCGGACATAAAAATAGCCGGAAAGGCGACCGACGAGGAGATGGAGACGCCGGAAGTGGTTGAACCGGAAGTCGGGGAACCGGAAGTGACGGTGCCGGAAGGCGGAAGTCCGATTTCCGCCCTGCTCATCACGTTGCTGTCTTTTTTAGCGGTATTTTCAATGTTGTTCCTGTTATATTTTCACTTCTACCAAGTTGGTGGTAAAATAAAGCTTTGGTTGTTGGAGAAAACCAAAATGGACAGAAATAATAAAGTCAATGATGGCGGTAAAAATATTTCGAGTAATGCTCCGTTACCGCCCCCCAGGAAGAAACAATTGAACATCACCAAAGGTAAAGACGGCATGACTGAAGTCAGTCTGACAAACATCGAAAGTATGGCATAAAATGTGAAATAGGTGCCAATGAAAGTGCAATAATTTAAATTAAATTATTTATAGATAATATTGTTAAGTTTTTGTAAATAAATAATATAGGTTACATAATAAAAAACAATTTTATTTATTTACCTTTTAAACGTCACAAAAACATATCCTCCATATCCACCGCCAGTCGATTGTTTTTCACGCACTCGCAGAAATAATTTTGAGGGTTATGTGGCAACATTGCAGAGTCATCGTTGTATTTTTTGTTGTAAAACGTCAAACAGGCCTGCTGATATTTTTGTTCCACAGATAAATTAACAATTTCTTTAATATCTAAAAAAAATCAATTAAAAAAACAACTAAAACTTGAGAAATAATTTGTTACCTATTTCTGATATCCCCTCCCTCCTTAAAACTCCCTCCAAGATAATTTTATCAAAGTGTTTATACGGGCAGCCATGATTTTGCAGCGGTGTCAAATTTTCATTGATTATGTTATCACATACAGAGGGTTTATATGAGTTGTTTACGCCAACTTTACCGTAAATATGTCGGAATAAATAGGAATGTTTTTTTGTGAAAACTTGCAGCGAAAATTTTTTCAAATATTCGTTTTTAAAATATTCCATAGCTACCTCAAATGGAATACCTACAAATTACAAACACCCTGTAACGTTTTTCTGTATAAAAAAACTCTTTTAAATTATACAGTAGAAAGTAAACCAACATTTTAACTTTTAGATTTATTTAAAAACCTTTTTCTGAATAATTTTTTTAAACATCTACAAAATGCGTTTTGTAGACAATTCATTTTTCTACCACTTTTTTTTCAACAAATCTTTTTAAAATTATACAGTAAAAAGTTATTCAAGAAAAACCAAACTTACTAAATTTTAATATTTTGATTTATTTTATTTATGATACCTGACAACTTGTTCCTGGATAAAATTAGAAAAAACAAAAAGAGACAATTTGTAGAAAATTCATTTCTCTACAAATCTCCTTTTTAACACAACTCTCTAAAATTATACATTAAGTTATTCAAGGAAAACCAAAATTACTAAATTTTAACTTTTTGATTTATTTTATAACCTTGTAACTTATTTCTGGATAAAATAAGACAAAATCCACAAAATGCGTTTTGTAGACAATTAATTTGTATACTTTTTTTTAAAATTATACAGTAAGAAGTTATTCAAGAAAAACTAAACGTACTATATTTCAAATTTTTGATTTATTTTAAAACCTGGCAAACTTATTTCTGGATAAAATTAGGAAAAAAAACAAAAAAATGCATTTTGTAGACAATTCATTTCTCTACAAATCTCCTTTTTACAAAAACTCTCTAAAATTATACAGTAAGCTTACTAAGCTTCTAGAAGTTATTCAAGAAAAACCAAAATTAGTAAATTTTAACTTTTTGATTTATTTAAAAACCTTGTAACTTTTTTCTGGATAAAATTAGAAAAAATCCACAAAATGTGTTTTGTAGAGAATTAATTTCTCTACAACTCTTTAATTTAACAAAACTTTGTAAAATTATACAGTAAGAAGTTATTCAAAAAAAACTAAACTTACTATATTTCAACTTTTTTATTTGTCATTTAAAAATCTTGTAACTTTTTTCTGGATAAAATTAGGAAAAAACAAAAAAAGGAAAAACAAACTCACTACATTTTAACTTTTTGATTTACTTAATTAAAACTCTTTTGTATAAAATTAGATAAAACCAAAAAAATGTAGACAATTATTTACAGTTATTTCAGAAAAACAAAAAAATACTCACCAATATCTTTCAAAAACTTGCAATACTGCAACTTCATGTGATACTTCATGTGGTGATGCTCCATAAGATGATTGTGGGCATTTTTCATGCACAGTGGAAAAAACAACCTGGCATAGTCACTAATCTGGCTAACATCGTTGATTTCATACACATTCCCTGATATTTTCAACAAATCCACTCGAAAATCTCTTACAATCCTCAACTTTTGCAGCAAAGTCAACACATTGTCAGGCAAATTGTTTAACAACTGACTGCTGCGCTAAAAACAAAGAAATATGTTAAAATGACATTTCTAAATGTCAAAGTGGCACTTACATATAAACTGGCAGAAAGGTTTTTGAGGAATATTGGCAATAAATACAGCATGAAATCTCGTCCAGAAAAAAACGCTGTTCCCTTCTCAATATGGCATTTTCTGCATTCCACAATTTTGGGAATATTTTGAAATTTCGTACAATAAATTGGCGTTTCATTTGCACAAAAATCATACTGTACTGGTTCATCACATCTTGTAATGTTCTTCATTAAAGTTTCTTGATGATTCATGTGAAATTTTCTTATTTGATTGGAATCAAACAAATTGAAACGCATTTGCAACAAATGACTCTCGCATTTGCAGAAAAATTGACGATCGGCTTCGCTACCACAATATACTAAAACCATTGAGTAAAGTCTTTACTCAATGCTAAAACATTTCCTCGAAATTAAACACGTTTTAAATGGTTTTCATTTATATTTTACCGTATCTTAGCATGTAATGTGCTACATGATCCTTCACACACTCCAATTCACTTGTAACATCAGACCACAAGATTAAATAGGTGTGTAAATTTGCATCTTGAACGTGTTGCAAAACGTAATCTAAATAGCTTTTGGAATAAACGTTGTATCTATGTGATGCTTCTGTTATGATTTTGTACACTTTTAGACGTTCCTCGCATATTTCCTTCAATATTTCCCTGTTAATTGTGTTTTGCGGCGGTAAATCCAAGTATAGATGGAACTTCTCTTCCATTATTCACTTAATTACATAAATAAACACATTTGAATCACTACAGTTTATCAAATAAACAAACTCGCGAAGCAACACATGATTTTGCACCCAACTTCATTCTTGTTTATTTTTTCAAACTCATCTGTCGGATAAAGCAGTGCTGCCAACTGCTACGCGGCCAACTTCTCAAACATTCCTTCTGTCAAATAGTTCTTTTGGCGTGTGTCAATTTTGGGAAACACGCGTTTTATCTGGAAATATCCGATTAATCGGTAGGTATTTTAGCGATATTTTTGGTGATTATGAAAGAAAAGACTTTATGTTAATTGTTTCGAGTGCTATTAAAGTTTATTTTCGTGTTTATTTCGGTGAATTTTGCGGATAAAGTTGTTGTTGTTTTAGGTAAAAATGACGAGCAAAATAAGGCCCGTCTACAAACCAGACATCCTCAAGAAAAGGAACAAGAAGTTCATCAGGCATCAATCCGATCGTTATGGAAAACTCAAGGTGAATATTGGCGAAATTGGAAAATTTCGAAAAACTTAACCCTACTTTGCGAATTTTCCAACCTAACTTTTTGTGTTATGTTACAGCGCAACTGGCGTAAACCAAAGGGTATTGACAACAGAGTAAGGAGGCGTTTCAAGGGCCAATTCTTGATGCCCAACATTGGTTACGGTTCCAATGCCAAGACGAGGCATATGCTTCCAAACCACTTCCGTAAAATCTTGGTGCACAACGTCAAAGTACGTATTAATAAACAAATTACAACAATGTACGGAACTTTATTCTTATTTTCTTTACAGGAATTGGAAGTCTTATTGATGCAAAACAAAAAATACTGCGCGGAAATTGCACATGCCGTTTCGTCAAAAAAACGTAAAGAAATTGTAGAGCGTGCCCAACAGTTGAGCATCAGAGTGACAAACGCTCACGCCAGGCTTCGCAGCCAAGAAAATGAATAAGTTAGTCTGTAACTTTATGTTTAATAAAAAAATACAAAAATCTACATTTTATGCTTTATTATTTAAAAATAGAAACCTTTTTCTTTCGTTAATGGAACAAAACGTTAATTTAATTAAAAATTTACATTAATTTTGTTAAAATCAAAGTAGCCACTGAAATTCCCAAATTATTGTAAAGTTGGCAATAAAAATCTCCAAGGGTTGGTAGGCGTGTGGGTCACTGTGACAACATTGACTTAACCTCAATTGACGCGGTTATCGACCAAACATAAACAATAATCGACAAACCCGGTTTAATTAGTTGAAAAAATGGTAGGTTTTACAGAAATTAACTCAAAACGAACCTTTTAATGATGATTTTTATCGGTTTTAGGCGCACACAATTCTTCTGGTGCAACCGGGCTCAAAACCGGAAACCCGCACCTACAGCGACTACGAGAGCGTGAACGAGTGCATGGAGGGCGTCTGCAGGATCTACGAGGAGCACTTGAAACGCAGGAACCCCAACACCCCCACAATCACCTACGATATATCGCAACTGTTTGATTTTGTGGATCAGCTCAGCGATCTAAGCTGCCTCGTCTACCAGAAGTCCACGAACACGTACGCCCCGTACAACAAGGACTGGATCAAGGAGAAAATATACATCCTGCTCAGACAGGCCGCAGGACACACGGAAATCGGGAATTTTAAGTAGTTTTAGGTTAGGATCATGTAAGAGAGTTAATGTTAAGTTAAAAGTATCATAATGTTTAGTTCTGTAAGTTTTTGCAAATAAAAAATCTATTTTAACCATTTTTTGTTTCTCTTATGTCTTTAAACTGTGAAATAAAACTCCTGGGTATTGTAAGCATTTTTAATGGCTAGAAAGTAACAATATTACAATTTATATCGCCTAACATATCTTTAATTTCCACTATGAATTGTTCACTACCACAAATTAGAATTTGTAAATGTTCTAAGCCGGTTTTCGCTATATAATCATCAAAATGCTTTCTACTAAGTTTTTCTTTATGCACTACCTCGTTATATTTACAATTATAGTCGGAAAAATCGCTCAGAAACACTTCATAAGTAAAATTCCAGTATCTGGAAAATTCCTTCAAAGCATTTCTCATTAAAATGTCGTTACAGCTGCGACAACAAAAAAATAGCTTCAAAAAAGTGCAACAGTCCTCGTTTTTTAGTATTCCCTCGATAATCTCGTGGAAAGGGGCTATTCCCGTACCCTGCGCGATAAAAAGCATATTTTTGTACATGTAACTCGCCGTATAATCGCCATACGGCCCCCTCCATAGAGTTTTCTGATTTATTTTCATGTTTCTAAAAAACCGCGACATCTCCCCATTTCTGTACAGTTTAATCAAAATCGCGAACTGTTTTTCGTTCAAATTCGCCAATTTTAACGGCGTGTACGCCTTGGAAAACTCCTCGCCAGCCCAATTTTTCCCCTTGACAAAAAAATGCTGCCCCGCGGTAAATTTAACGATGAAATCGTCGTAATTTTTACCCGGAGCGTCGTTGTGGAAACCCGCGAACTCGAACGTGTAGAAAAACGTGTTTTCCGTGTGCTTTTCGATGTTTACCGCACGGAAAATTGACAGTTTCGCAGGTAGAATGCACGACTTCTCCAAATTTTGACCTTCTTTTTTTTGACGATATAATTTTAATTGCTCCTCGTAGACGTCCAAAATGCACGGATTGCAACCCGAATTGCAACAATCGTCCGGATTCGGCTCTTCCGGAAGCTCCATTATCAAGAATTTTTAATAACAAAGCTGTGTTTATGTAAAATCTACGTACTTGGTGAGTTTGGTTTTGTTAGGTTTGTCAGTTGGCGCGCCTGCGCCGAGTCGACTTGGTCTGTCAAAAACAAACGTCATCTTTCTCTTTAGCCAAGTGTTGCAAACATGGCTGTTGGTAAAAATAAGGGATTGTCTAAAGGCGGCAAGAAGGGAGTCAAGAAGAAGGTGTAAGTGTAAAATATCGTTTTAATAAGTTTCTCGTGTTTTCTCGCCATCGATTTGCGTTGTTTTCGCTGTGTAATATTTAAGGATGGTCGGGAAAAATCAAGATTTAAATGACATGCTCGGTGAGGTTACGATCTGTTATTTCGTGTTTTTTTAAAGTGTGAAATCAGTGATATAACCTCGATTAACATGATGAGACACTCAGCTCGCTTTGAAACATACATGAAGAGAATCTGTTGTTCCCTAAAGACGCAAAATTTCTCAATTCTGAAACAATAAATCCTATAGTTGCAGTCGTAAAGGTAATTTTCTGTTTTTAAACAATGTTTTGTTATTTTTAGCGTGGACCCCTTCACCAGAAAAGACTGGTACGATGTTAAGGCCCCTAGCATGTTTGCCACCCGCCAGGTTGGAAAAACCCTGGTGAATCGTACGCAAGGAACCAAAATCGCTTCAGAAGGTTTAAAATTCCGCGTTTTTGAAGTTTCCCTCGCTGATTTGCAGAACGACAACGATGCTGAACGTTCTTTCAGAAAGTTCAGGCTCATCGCTGAAGACGTGCAAGGTAAATCCAGTTTTCAGGTTTTTTGAGGTTATGTGTTTTTTGAAGTTGCCTTAAATGATGACACACTCAGCTCGCATTGATACATAAATGATGAGAAATTTATGTTCCCTAAAATGACGCAATTATTTAACAAAATCTGAATTTGCAACTTTGTTATTAATTTCAATATTTTTGAGTGTTTTCGAGGGTCTTTTTATTATATTTTTGCGGGGTTTTCAGGCAGAAATGTCCTTACCAACTTCCATGGCATGGACTTGACCACCGACAAGTTGCGTTCCATGGTAAAAAAATGGCAGACCTTAATCGAGGCATCTGCTGACGTTAAAACCTCTGACGGTTATTTATTGAGGGTTTTCTGCATTGGTTTCACCAACAAAGACCAAATCTCGCAGAGGAAAACTTGCTACGCCCAACACACACAAGTAATTACACATACAAAGTACAGTGCAGGCCAAAAGTTACTTTTTTTGACATTTTAAATATTTGACAGATAAATAACCTATAAATTGTTTTTGACAGCTTGGAAATTATGGCTATAATTTTGACATTTGACAAATTTGATTAAATCAAATGTCAAAATTATAGCCATAATTTCCAAGCTGTCAAAAACAATTATTAGGTTATTTACACCAAAACTGTCAAAATTATTTTGACAGTAACTTTTGGTGGTGCAAAAGTGAGGTTATGGGGGTTATTTCTAAGGGTTGCTAATTATAGGTTAGGGCCATTCGCAAGAAGATGGTCGAGCTGATCACTCGCGACATTACCGGCAGCGACTTGAAGGAGGTGGTCAACAAATTGTTGCCCGATTCCATCGCCAAGGACATTGAAAAGTCCTGCCAGGGCATCTACCCCCTGCACGACGTGTACATTCGCAAAGTGAAAGTGTTGAAGAAGCCACGTTTCGAGCTCTCCAAACTTTTGGAGATGCATGGGGATGGCGGTAAAGGCGAAGGCGCCGTTGGTGGGGAAGGGGGCTCGAAGGTTGACAAACCAGAGGGTTACGAACCACCAGTGCAAGAAGCCGTTTAAGTTTTTTATAATTAACTGATAATTATATGTATAAAAATTGAAAAATCAATAAATACGGTGTATTTAGACAATTTGTAGTTTTATTTCACTTGTTTTTGCAGGAAATACGATGAAAATAGGTAAGTTTGAGGTTAGCTGTCAAATTCTGACAGTTAAATATCCTAAAAGCAAAGAAATGTCAAATATTAGACATGGCAACTAGATAAGTAAGCAGTTTAATTTTATTTCAAGCCCCATTTCCATGAAGCCTATTTCAATCAATATTTTTCTGAAAATATAACAAAAAAAATAAAAGTTAAAAAAATATTTATTCATTTAAAAAAAATTATCCCAGTATGTCATGGAAAGTGGTACTTTGATAACCAACGTTCATCGACGGATTGTCCGTGAAAGAAATATACATCCTGAAAAAAAAACAATTGAAAACCTCAAAACATCACAAACGTCAAAACTCACTTGTCATCGGCTATACCGAGTTCTTTGGTGATCAGATCGAAGATCGCTTTGGAATGTTTTTTGTTTTGCTCTTGCCCCAGGGCGCCGATGCTCATCAAGGTGGCCTGGGCGCATTTGGCGTTCGAGCCGCCCCACGACATGGCAACGCCGCCAACCACCGTGGCAACGCAGTACTGCAATAATCGAAGTTACGTAATTCGAGGTTAGGTTAAAAAATCAAAAAAACTTACGCTAATTGGTTTTCCCAGTGATTTACTCAAAACTTGGCATATTTTGGCGGGTAAATCGGCCGGAATGTCACTTTGAGGGACGTTGGTTTCCAAACGAAAATGCGGCATCTTATTTTCAACGAAACAGCTGACGTCGTTAATGCAGATAACTGTATTGCCGGTAATTCAGTAAACAAAAATCATATGGTGAAAATGAGTTTTTTACACCGCCACATAAGACTTTTTTGCGCTACAAAACGTTATTTAAATACGAAATGTTGGAAGTGCGGGGTGGAGAAACAAAGAAGAGTGTTATTTTGCGAAAAATGCAATGTAATTCAAAATCCTGATGTTAAAGACAATTATTTCAAGGTTTTTGATGTGGAAGAGAAATTTGATGTCGATTTGGGCGATTTAAAAAACAAATTTAGAAAAATGCAGAGTGTTATACACCCTGACAAATTCACCACCAAGTGAGATTTATTTAGCATCTAGTTGGCTGTTTTTATAATTTGTTTTTTTAGAACAAGTGAAGAAAAAACAATATCTGAGGAATACTCCAGCCTACTAAATAAAGCTTACAATAATTTACAACTACCGATAAGCAGGGCCGTACACTTATTAAATTTAAAGGGGGTCAGCATAAAAGAAGACCAAAAAGTAACCAATCCAGAATTTTTGATGGAAATCATGGAAATTAATGAAAGTATTGATGAAGCCAACACTCCAGAAAAAATAGAAGTTGTTAATACCAAGAATAAAAAAATTATGGACGAAATTTGCCAAAATATTGACAATTTGTTCAAAAAAGAAGATTTGATAGGGGCCAAAGAAGCTATAATAAAATTAAAATATTTTACTTCAATAAACAATAGAATAAACAATATTAAACGTGAAAAAGGCATTGTAGATTAATTTTATGTAAACAATTAATTATTATAAAATTTAAATTTTTAAAAAATATTTGTTTAATTTTTTTATCTCAAATATTCAAAAAAACACATAAAAATCAAACATTTTCTGAATATAAATTTCTATATTTTTATAAAAATGTCTCAAAGAAAATCCATAAAATAAAATTTGGATTGCATTTTCAAAATCCTTAATTAATTACCTTTAAAAATTAAAATTTGTCGTCAACATGAAAAACACACAGTTTTTAATTATTCTTTTCTCAATAACATGTTTTTACTAAAAACTTTTTAGGCATTAGCAACAATATTTTGTTAAAAAAACGCAGTACACGCTGCCACCTTAGCAACCAATGGGATTGCGGTAACCTACATTCGCGGAGCACGGCTATCTCGGATTAACATTCGCGATTTGAACGTCGGCGCGCGTGTTTTGTTTTGTGCGCGTAAATCGCGTTGCTGCGGGTTCGAACATGTGAATGCACGATTTTTTCAAGTTTTTTCGTAATAGAAGCTGTGATATTGTTTTTTCGGCGGTGGATATGATTAATTAGTTAAAAGTGAGTATTGAAACATTTATTATAATAAGTGATCGGTTTATTTCTTATTGATTCGTTCCGAGAAACCATAGCAATACGTTTAATAACATTAACTTGTAAGTCGCATTATTATTGTTTGTAAACATTGTAGGTACCTAAGTTTCTATTCATAGATTTATTTAACAATCAATCCAACCTTGGGCGTAAATTTGTTATTATTATCGGACGTGTTTCAATAATAAAAAATAATTTTATTACTTTTTAATGAACGTTAAAAAATTTATCTAAAGTCACACCTTGTGAGGTTTTTAACAGCGACAATCCTTTCTAAAACATTACGAAATTGAAACCCAGATAAATTAACCGTTTTTTACAAAACACTCGTTAAATTATACATGGATTAAAAGGTATTTAATTGTAGATTCCCAAAATGTAATCCAAATTTTGTTTTGTGGGTTTATAATCAATATACAGGGTGGTAAAGTTTAAGATAATTTTGTATGTCACATTTTATTAAATGCGCTGTGAAATGTCTATTTTTATGAAATACCTTGTATATAAAACACGGTTTTAAAGGCAATTAATTGCAGATTTCGAAAATGCAACACAATTTTTATTTTGTGGGTTTATAAGGGATGTACAGGGTGTAAAAATTAAAGTAAATTTTCTATAAGACTTTTTATAAAATGCGCTGTAAAATTTATACTTTTATGAAACACCTTGTATATTATGCAAGGTTTTATGGGTTTTTAATTGTAGATTATCAAAATGTAATCCAAATTTTCTTTTGTGGGTTTAAAATGATTATACAGGGTGTTAAAGTTTAAGTAAATTTTTTATGTCACATTTTATTAAATGCGCTGTGAAATGTCTATTTTTATGAAACACCTTGTATATAAAACGTTGTTTTAAAGGCAATTAATTGTGGATTTTGAAAATGCAACACAATTTTTATTTTGTGGATTTATAAGGAATGAACAGGGTGTTAAAGTTAAAGTAAATTTTCTATAAGACTTTTTATAAAATGCGCTGTAAAATTTATACTTTTATGAAACACCTTGTATATTATGCAAGGTTTTATGGGTTATTAATTGTAGATTGCCAAAATGTAATCCAAAATTTGTTTAGTGGGTTTATAATGATTATACAGGGTGTTAAAGTTAATTTTTTTATTAAATGCGCTGTGAAATGCCTATTTTTATGAAACACCTAGTATATTAAACATGGTTTTAAAGGTAATTTAATGGTGTTCAGAAAATGTTTGTTTTTTTGTTGATTTATTGGTATTTTTGCCTTTAAAAATCAACGTATTGCGTAGGGTAAAAAATTATGCTTAATTTTAATAGAAAGTTATTAAGATATGATTTAAATTAGTTAATAAGCGATTAGACGTAACCAAAAATGGCAGCCGGCAGTAAATAATGCAAATTACTTAATCGAATTAATAACTTTTCGCCATATTGTTGGCGCAAAAAAAATAAGGCGTCTGTAGATAATGTTATTCAACTTATAGGTTCAAAAAACGTATAAATTTCTTTGTTAATTTTGTCGTGTTTTATTAATTTCAAGGCAAAAACTGCGCGGCTTTCTACTTTTGTATTTTATTTTACCAGTATTTCACAAAATTATTAGTTTTTTTATAACAATTGTAGCGTAAAATAGGAAATGACATTCTTTCGACCATATCAATTTTAAAACTTGGCTACATACGATAAACCCAATTGTATTTTCGATTGTTTCATCCCATAGACATATAAAAGTGAGAAAAATAATTTTTTTTTAGATGATCCGCTACACGAATCTACAGGTGGTAACTTTAATAGCACCGGCAGTTGTTTCGGTCTTATTGATATGGACCGTGGCCATATTCCATAAGAATCGAAAAAAATGGGGTCCACACGATATACCGGTTGTTTCCCTCATGGTTTTGAGTGTGCTAAGAAATATTTGTGTTTTGACTTATTTACTGTTTGTGACTTTAAACGAGCAGGTTTTCGATGTGGACTACTGCGGCATAGTTGTGTGGTTATTTAATTCGGTTCACACCTTTCAAGCCTCAATTTTGACCACGATTGCTGTTATAGGACTTTTTAGTTCTAAATTGCACAGAAAAAAGCAAAATTTGCGGCAATTTTTGACGACCACCCACATCGTTTATCATTTGTTTTGTTTGACGACTTTGTGCGCGTGCGTGGGGGTTGCCGCGATCCTGGCGAAAAATCGGGAATCAAAAAGTGCTATTTTTCAAAATGTGACTGTCTTCAACAGTTTCAACCCTTGCAGTTTCTTACCTTTCGAGTTGGACATAAAATTCAACATATTTATCTTAGTATTACACATTACTCTGTTCACCATATCATTCGGGTCGTTCGTGTTAATATGTTACCACCACTTTAAATCGAAAACTTCGACGTTCGACTACCTAAAAAAATCGAACTCGGACCTGTCGGATTTGTCGTTACCAAACTTCGAGAACAAAAGTTACTACGACACTTACACGGTTCAAAACAAACAAAACCCGGCGTGGACCTCGGATATGTCAAACATATCCACGACTGTCAGTTCTACGAACAGCAGAAGGCCGTGCATCTCGAAAAAACAGTACGAAACAATCGAGAATTGGAACAGGACCGGCTTGGAGACCATCCACCCCATCCTGATAGTCTGCTACCTGTTCTACCATCTACCACTAATGGTAAGTTTGTTTATAATTTTTAGGGTATAAAAAACACTGAATATATCAAAATATTTACATTTTCTGAAAATGTATAAAATTATCTAACATTTCACATAATTATTTTCAAAATTGGCCAAAAAATAACCACACTACAGACTGTCAAAGTTGGTCTTAATTTTAAGAGAATTAAAATTGATACGATACTATGTTTTGTAGGTTATCTCGAAAAAATACCAATGGGACATGTTAATATATTTACATTTTCTTAAAATGTATAAAATTATCTAACATTTGACATAATTATTTTTAAAATTGGCCCAAAAATAACCAAACTACAGACTGTCAAAGTTGGTCTTAATTTTAAGAGAATTAAAATTGACACGATTCTTTATTTTGTAGGTAATCTCGAAAAATAACCAATGGGGCATATTACGATATTTACATTTACTTAAAATGTATAAAATTATCTAACATTTGACATAATTATTTTTTAAATTGTTCAAAAAACAACAAAACTACATACTGTCAAAGTTGGTCTTAATTTTAAGAAAATTAAAATTGACACGATTTTATATTTTGAAGGTTATCTCGAAAAAATACCAATGGGGCATATTACGATATTTACATTTTCTTAAAATGTATAAAATTATCTAACATTTGACATAATTATTTTTTAAATTGTTCAAAAAACAACAAAACTACAGAATGTCAAAGTTGGTCTTAATTTTAAGAGAATTAAAATTGACACGATTCTGTATTTTGTAGGTTATCTCGAAAAAATACCAATGGGGCATATTAAGATATTTACATTTTCTGAAAATGCATAAAATTATCTAACATTTGACATAATTATTTTTAAAATTGGCCAAAAAATAACCACACTACATACTGTCAAAGTTGGTCTTAATTTTAAGAGAATTAAAATTGACACGATTCTATATTTTGTAGGTAATCTCGAAAAATAACCAATGGAACATAATAAAATATTTACATTTTCTTAAAATGTATAAAATTATCTAACATTTGACATAATTATTTTTATGCACGATGACATTATAATATGACAATTATAACAAAAATTCTTTGACGTAAACGTCTTTTTATAGCCCGCGGGCGTTATTATGACCCAGCGGGCTATAATGAAACGTCAAAAATTAAAAACAACAATGTTACACCATTTGATATATTCGAAGTAAGTTTTTTCGTATAAAGATTTTGATTTTTCCGGCAGCAGGCCGCAATTTTTCGCCTTTTCAGCTGCTTCCTCAATTTCATTCATCTTTAAACTTTAAAACTGACTGATGTCAGTTGACATTATAATATGACAATTAGGTATAACAAAAATTCTTTGACGTAAACGTCTTAAAAAACAATAATATATTAAAAATAATAATATATTAATCGTGCATAAAGTTTTGTATGCATTGCTGGCATAACTGGTTTTTATGGTCCTACGACGCTTTTCTAGCCCTCGCGCTAACGCGCTCGGGCTCGAAATAGCGCCTCGGACCATAAAAACCTTATTATGCCCTTAATACATAAATAACTATTAAAATCGTACAAATATTAACAAAACTGTCAAAGTAACATTTTTACATTGTAAGTAAATGTTATTGCATTGTTGGTATTTAATGTTAAAAGAGAAAATCAAGTAGCTAATATTAATAATAATCACATATGTTACTTTGATGGTTAAATTGTCGACATAAAAATCGAAGGTAATAATAAATTTCTAAACGTTCGAAAAAATAATTGTAGAGAATTGCAAAGAAAAAGGATTTAACAATGCGTTTCATGAAACAACGTTAAATAAGTGGTACGTAACGTTTTGTAGTTGGCATCTAATTAATTAGATTAATTTATATAAATATGCATTTGTTTTACAAAAAAAAACAGTAAATTTATTTGTAAGATGATATTGTTAACAACGTACGAACTACGCTTGAAAAACTCAACGAAAACCTTGAATTAACGTTAATTTTCATTATTTTTAATTACATATTACTCATAGCTAGACAAATCTTACCTAATGTTTAAAAAATTGCTTTGTAAAAATCACGTACTCCTGGATTCTGCGACCTTGAACCTGCCCTGCCAAATCGTAGCCTACTTTTCACATTATATTTGACCTCCATTTAAAAACAAAAAACGCGTTGTCTATGGCAACCAAACGTGTTTAGAGGAGATGGAATAACATTAGCTAGGTGATAAAAAATGTATAAACATTGTGTTAATTTAAACAATTCATTTTACATAATAACAATAATGATAAACTTGCTAATAAATAATGAAGTAAAAGTGAAAACAATTTAGTTTTATTTCCATCTAAATAAGTAAAATAGAAGAGAAATCCAAGCATTAAAGAGTGAAACAAATTGCATAAAAATAAAGGTATTTAATCGATCTTCATTTGTTTAATAAAAACAAAGCAACCACTTATGCATTTATAACTGTAAAACAAAGGAATTTGACATTTTAATCATGTTTACATAACAAAAAACATATTCCTTTACGATTGTAAATAGGTAAATCAGTCATTGCATTCTTCAATAAAATTAACATTTTATTAAAACTTATAGGTAGGTATATAACAGTTATATTATGCACTCGAATAAACATGAACCAAACCCTAAAATATACTTTAAAATTTAGTAGTTCTGAGATACATCCAATTGAGTAATGCCTACCTAGATTTTATGTAAAATCCTTTCTATTTTCTTAGTAGCTAAACCTACCTATAAACTAACGGTTCTGTGCATTTTTATAACGAAAAATTATGTTATTTAATGCTAAAGAAAACGTGATAGGTTAAAATCACCTCACATTTTATCGACCAAATATTTTTATTGAATTATTTATTTTAATTAGTACCGATTTCATCATTTAATACCGAAACAAAATTCCTAATTTTACAGTTCTTTACAAAAATAGTTGCTAATTAAATTTGATATGAGAGAGACACATTTTCGTTTTTGTTGGGTTTAAACTCTCGACCCAGTGCCTTAAGAAATGTTACGTTGTTGTGAGTGACCCACATCTAGACACCTTTGACACGAAAGAAACAAAAAACGAACGTTCATAGACAAAAAACACGTAGAGAGGGGGAAATGTAAATTTTTCGCGAAACTTTGATTTTGTAAAGTTTGATTAATTTTTGTGAATCGATTAAATCCCATCTATCTATTACATCTTTAAAAATTTAAATAATTTTTGAAACTATGTCAAACATTTACATAACTGAGAGAACCTATAAATTGTATTAGGTATTGCAATTGAAACTTCTTTTTTACTGCAAGTAAGTAGTAGGTACTAATAAATCTAATTAATTGGAGCATATCATGCACTTTCCAACACTGTACTATTTTTCCAATCAACTTGCAATCGGGCAACGCTGTGCACAATTTGCGTAACAAACAACACACGAAGAATTGTTTTGTTGTTATATTGCTATGACGACGACTTTTTTTGTTTCCCCGCATGGGTTGCTGGATTGCGAAACGCGATTTTGTCAAATAAATTAAAAGTAAAAGTAACTACTACAAGTAGTTACACTTTCTGCTGTTTTAATTATTTAATAATTTAATTAAAAAAAATAAAAAAAGTTAATTTGTGCCATTGCCTCCTGTGAGGATTGAACTCACGACCCCTGGTTTACAAGACCAGTGCTCTGCCACTGAGCTAAAGAGGCTACGTAAAATTTCGATATCTGAGACGTTGTTAAAGATACACACTTTTATGTTTAATTTACATTGTTAATGTTACCAAATAATAAATAAAAGAAACCTCGTAATTTTTTTGAACCGTATTACTCAGAATTGGGAACAAACAAACAATAAAAGAAACATTACTCAAGTTTAAATTAGACAATGAAAAGTCAAGGTTTTTGAATTGGAAGTTATTGAAATATACACACACCCAAAAGATTGCTGTGGATGATTAAAATCATTTTAATAAAATGTGATTTTTTTTTTAGGTTTTGTGCATTTATCCAAAATTAATCCACCCATACTCGGTTTCTGGTGCTGCCTTGTGGCTGGGGCTTCTACAGGACCTCTTGATGCCCATTGGGTTGGGAATAGTGGATTCCAGGTTTTGCAAATGGGTTGCGAGCGCCTATAAATGCACTCAAACCAACTCGGAAGAGAAATTACCGCACGGTAAGTACCTAGTAATTAAGATATAATTAATAAACAGGAACTAATTTCGATTTGATAGTTAATTTAATAATTGAATTTATTGTGCAGTTTCTCATGATATAGATAGTTAAAGCATGTAAAATTATAAGTGCGTATGTTAACGTTCATTGCACTTTCTCTTACATCTATTGTGATTTGCAAGAAGAAAAAACTAAATGGCGAGTTTCTAAAATTAAGTATAATTAAACCTTTAAACTAACTTTTTTATTTTTGACAGTTGAATTTCGTAGATAACTAAATTTTAAACATAAATTACTTTTGATGTTTTTTCAATATTTGCTTAGTTAAAAAGATAAAAAAAATTGTCTATTTCTATTTATTGCAATTATCTCCATAACAAAGCTAAAATCAAAAAAATTTTAAGAGTATAATGTTGTCAAACATGAAATTACGTACAAATTTTTTCTCTAAAAAATTTAAAAAAATCATCTTATAAACTATTTTTTCACAAAAACTCTAAACGTAATTTTTAAGTTCTTTAAAAAATAGGTGCACCACTGACTTTTTTTAATTTTTGACTGTTGAATTTCGAAAATAACTGAAATTGGAACAAAAATTACTCCTGAAGTTTTTTTCGATATTTGCTTATTTAAAAAGATAAAAGCAAATTTAAATAAAAAAAAAACCTTTTTCCCTTTTAATTTTTCTAATTATATCCATAACTAAGCGAAAATCGAAAAATTTTCAGGAGGTTAACTTTGTCAAGCATAAAATTATCTACAAAATACCCCCTTAAAACTTAAAAAATTGTCCCGTTACCCATTTTTTCGCAAAACTCTGTACTTATACGCGATTTTGGACTTTCCCTCGTATACCATCCAAGGCAAACCCTATGCACATTTCCGCAAAATAAAACAGGATACAATCGCGACATGCCCGATTAGCCATTGTTTCGTTACGTCACCATTTATTTATGTGTGTGCCTGTACAAGAAAAGGTCACTCAATTAACACCAATTGATGCCAAATACCTACTCGATTGTTTGGTTATTTTTAGTTGGCGTGGACGGGAAATTTCGCCCTTTCGGCGGCAGTCAGCCTCAGAGCCTGGAAGTCAATGGGATTCAGGAGCGGAGTTCGCGCGGGTTTCAAACGATCGAGCATCGGTTTCCAATAACGACGGGGACTCTGTATACGAGTATAGATGGAAACAATCGACTGCCGGTCATACAGAATTACAGGAGGCAAAATAGAGAACAATTAGGTAAGAAATGAGGTATACTAGGCAACCAACATTACATTTAGTGTGCGACAGTTTTTATTTGTTTTAACTTTTAAGCAAATAATTTTGTTTTTCCTGCATTTTATAAATTTTGTACTTCTATTTGTTTTTTTTGTTTATTTTAAATTTCATATTTCCTCTTATTTTGTTCAATAATTTCAACAGAACCTTTTAAATTGCGAAAATAAAATTTATTATTTGGCTTTGAACTCTGTGTATAAAGCCTAACTGCAAAAAAACGGCATTTTTTAAATTTTTACTCAATTTTTTTTTATAAATTTTTAATTTTCTCTAATTTTGTTGTATTTTTGTTCAATAATTTAAACAGAACCTTTAGAATTGCAAAAATAAAATTTATTATTAGGCAACCCATATTACATTTACCATCCCACATAGTTTTTACTTGTTTAGCAGATGAATTTGTTTTTTCCATTGATTTACAGTAAAATCTCAATTTATAGCAATTCCTTACCATAAAATGGTCATGAATTTTTGTTTTTTTTAGCTTAATATGAAGAAAAAACAAATTTTATGAATATGTATGATAGGCAACCCAGATAACGCAAACTTGCAATGCTGCATTCGAACTTATAAACCCTTAAGGCAAAAAACTGCATTTTTTAAATTTTTTACTTCAATTTGTGTTTTTTATTTATTAGTTTTGAATTTTATATTTTCTTCTATTCTGTTGTTTTTTTGTTCAATAATTTCAACAAATAAAATTTATTATTAGGCAACCATTATTAAATTTACCATACTACATAGTTTTTACTTGTTTTATTAGATAAATTTGTTTTTTTTTCATTGATTACAGTAAAATCTCAATTTATAGTAATTCCTTAGCATATTTTGATCAATAATTTTTGTTTTTTAGCTTAATATGAAGAAAAAACAAATTTTATGAATATGTATGGTAGGCAACCCAGATAACGGGTAGTTCAAATGTCACTTTCTTGCAGGCATAAGACCTATTTTTGCCATTATAACAACAAATTAATAATTTTTTATGTTAATTTTTTACTTTTTATGTTGTTTTTAGTGTTTAATAATAATTTTATTTGTTATAAAGTGGTAATTTGTTAATTTAAATAATTAAACTGCCAACTTGACAAACACAAAAATTGAAAGTTTTAAATCATATTTTTGCCATTATAACAACAAATTAATAATTTTTTATGTTACTTTTTTACTTTTTATGTTGTTTTTAGTGTTTAATAATAATTTTATTTGTTATAAAGTGGTAATTTGTTAATTTAAATATTTAATAGTTTTTACTTGTTTAGCGGATAAATTTGTTTTCCCCTAATTGATTTACAGTAAAATCTCAATTTATAGCAACTCCTTAACATAACATGATCAACAAATTTTGGTTTTATATTTTAATATAAAGAAAAAACGAAATTTATAACTATGTATGTTAGGCAACCCAGATAACGGGTAGTTCAAATGTCACTTTCTTGCAGGCATAAGACCTATTTTTGCCATTATAACAACAAATTAATAATTTTTGATGTTAATTTTTTACTTTTTATGTTGTTTTTAGTGTTTAATAATAATTTTATTTGTTATAAAGTGGTAATTTGTTAATTTAAATAATTAAACTGCCAACTTGACAAACACAAAAATTGAAAGTTTTAAATCATATTTTTGCCATTATAACAACAAATTAATAATTTTTTATGTTACTTTTTTACTTTTTATGTTGTTTTTAGTGTTTAATAATAATTTTATTTGTTATAAAGTGGTAATTTGTTAATTTAAATAATTAAACTGCCAACTTGACAAACACAAAAATTGAAAGTTTTAAATCATATTTTTGCCATTATAACAACAAATTAATAATTTTTGATGTTACTTTTTTACTTTTTATGTTGTTTTTAGTGTTTAATAATAATTTTATTTGTTATAAAGTGGTAATTTGTTAATTTAAATATTTAATAGTTTTTACTTGTTTAGCGGATAAATTTGTTTTCCCCTAATTGATTTACAGTAAAATCTCAATTTATAGCAACTCTATGGCGCGCCGTTTGATTTTTTATTCAGGAATTATTTATTTCTCCATTGAATTTCACATATCTCTAAATCAATTTCAGATATGTAAAATTAATTTCAGATATCTCTAAATCAATTTCAGATATGTGAAATTAATTTCAGATATGTAAAATTAATTTCAGATATCTCTAAATCAATTTCAGAAATCCCAAATTAAAGTTGCAAATGTGATATTTATTTATAAATAAAAGATACCAAGTCAGAAATTTAATTCATTGCATTAAACATATCATAGAACAAATTAAAAAATGCGGTAAATTTTAATGTTAAAGTGATATTTTTAATTCCTTGAATAAAAAATATCATGGGACAAATTTAGAATTCGAATTAGCAACATCATAGGAGAAATTTATAATTTAAATTAAAAATATTATGGTAAAAATTCTTAAACAGATTAAAAAATATGAGAGAAATGTATAATTCAAATTAAAAATATCATAAGAGAAATTTTTAAATGAATTAAAAATATCATAGGAGAAATATTTAATTCGAATTAAAAATATCATAGGAGAAATGTATTATTCAAATTAAAAATATCATAGGAGAAATTTTTAAATGAATAAATAATGTCATAGCAGATATTTTTAATTCGAATTAAAAATATCATAGTAGAAATTTATAATTCAAATTAAAAATATCAAATGAGATATTTTTAATTCGAATTAAAAATGTCATAGGAGATATTTGTAATTCTATTTAAAAATATCATGGGAGAAATTTTGAAATGAATTAAAATTATCATAGGAGAAATTAATAATTCGAATTAAAAATATCATAGGGGAAATGTATAATTCGAATTAAAAATATCATAGAAGATAATAATTATTTAATTACTTAATGAAATAAAGCATATTTTTAAGTAATGTCATATTTTCATTCTTACTGAACTAAAAAACGCACTATATGCGGTTTTAGTGCATTCGAACTACAGGTGCCGCTAACTGGCAACTGTTGAGCTTCAAATATAAACAAACTCCTGCTATAAACTTATTAATAGGTACATACATAGATACCTATTAACCTATCTTATTATAACACATTAGCATTATTAGTTCATTTATTTTAATTATAAATATTTTTGTAACCGGTAGTTCAAATATCTTTACCAGTTTGTAAAAACGCGGGAAAAAATTTATTCATCTGTCAAAAATTAAATGTAGTTAATTTTTACAAGATGCTAAATGAATACGTCAATGCAGAAACTGAATATGTCCTACCTATCTAGTTTTGAGATAAATAAGAAAAACTGAACAGAAAGTGGACATATGTTCTGGACATATTCAGTTTCTCTACTATATTAACGCCTTTGTATATTCTAGATTACCGTGACATGTGAAATTTCTACGCCATTCGATCGGGCTCCCTTTACTTATAGTAAATCCATGTTTAACTCAATAGCCCTAAAAAGTGGACATATTCAGTTTCTGCATTGACCTATTCAAATATATTTGAACTACCGGTTAAAAAAATATGTATAATTAAGATAAATGCATTAATAAAGTTAATGTGTTATAATAACGCTAATAACAAGAAACAGTTATTAATAAATTTATTACAGGACTGCGCTCATTGATATCGGAAGCTTAAAGCCTGATTTAAATATTGCCTTCCTTCCTTCCTCCCTTCCTTCCGTAAAAGATGAACAATACAAAAACCGTTGTGATGTTTATAAATTAAGGTACGGAATCTATAAATAGTACTATCGCTAACAAAAAAAACTCATACAGCTATATTGTGGCTGTGTGAATAAAACTTTTCCGTCAATGTCAAGCTGACAACGAGCTTTGTCACATCCATTATGACTTTTTTAACAACATTTTCAACCAAACAATGCAGACGAACTCTGGCAAGCCATTGAAGCCATTTGGAACTAGATAAAGCAAGACGGCGACTTCCATGCTTTGCCGTTTGCGGGCAGTAATTGACAAAAACAGAGGGATGACGAAATACTATTTTATTTTTCAAACTTCAACCTAACTTTGTATTTAATTTTAGACCTTTCAAATGTGACGTACTATGCTCCACACTTCAAAGTCCCACCACGTGACCACGTACGGAACGCAGTCTTTTGATAATTTGTCATTTAAGGCTTTTCAGGTTATGTATCTGTCAAAGTATAGTCAATGCAAGAAAAAATATTTATACCATTTATGTTTAAGCGTTAAAAGTTAATAAATCTTTATAGTATCACAGTAACAATGGTTGGTTTAAGAGTTTAGGAGTATAAATACTACATTTAATGAAATTCTAAAGTGTATAGTGCCAAATAAGTAAAATTTTTGTGCATTAATTAAACCTATAATGCAGACCAATGTGCATTAATGTAGACCAAATTTGGTCTACATATATCTGGTTTTATTCATAAAATAGTTTTAACTAAACGGCATTTATTAAAAAAATCTAGCTTGTCTATTACGGAATAAAAATATCTGTATCAAAGGTAGGTTAATATATTATAACAAAAAATATCATATAATTTTGAAATTTTAAGGTTATAAAAATCTATTTTGATCAAAATAAGTATTTTGGATTATTTGGAAGAGTGTGTCATATAAATATAGATATACTAAATAATTGTTGAATATGGTTCAAACTAAATTAAAGCTTTTATACTCCTAACAACAAAACTTGTGCATACCTCTCGGGATGCCTACTTTAAGTTAGATTATAAGGAAACAAACAATTTTTAGAGATACATGCAATGTAAAAATATTTAATACTCCCATAACATGTGATTTTTGAAATTTTTAAAAGTTATAATGATTTTTCGATGAAGATAAAATTCAGTTGAAGCTTTATACGTAATTGTATTGACAAAACTTTATGTAGGTATACTTTAAGCTGGATAAGAAAGACTACTACAAGTAAAAATATTAGATAGAGTATACTGTGGTTTTATTTAAATTTTAGAATTTATAAGGTTATTTATA